TTATTTAAAAATCATACAATGTGATTTTCTGGATTTTTTTTTTTGATTCGGTCTCTCACAGTTGAGGTGTACCTACGATGAAAATTACAGATCTCTCCATTCTTTGTAAGTGGGAAAACTTGAAAAATCAGCAGTGTATCAAATACTTATTTGCCCCACTGTACATGTATTCAGTGTTTCGTCCTATCTGCTTCTACAAACCACATCAGTGTCTTTAACCCTGGCCAGTTTCCATAAGGGGGTCAGTGTGCGCGGATTTAATTACAGCACAGTATATATAGCAGATCAGTATTGATCAGACCAGATCTGCTGTGTGTGTGTGTGAGAGTATGTGTGTGTGTGTGTGAGTGTGTGAGTGTGTGTGTGATTGTGTGAGTGAGTGTGTGAGTGTGAGTGTGTGTGTGAGAGAGCGAGAGAATGTGTGTGTGTGTGTGCGTGTGTGTGCGTGCGCGTGTCTGTGTCTGTGAGTGTGAGTGTGAGTGTGTGTGTGCAGTAGGTGCAGTCTAATGTCAATTAAGTTAAAGATGCTGTACATTAAGTCCTGATAGTACAGTTCAAATACAACCTGCAAACCTTCAGAAGATGAATTTTGATCCATATATTTTCACCTCAGAGTTTGTCTTCTGATATATAACAATATGACTTAAAGTTGCGCTTCTAAATAAGCCACGAGAGGCTGATACGGTGATCTGTTCATGATCACTTTAGCTTCCACACGTTTGAGCTTCTGTTTACGATTTTGATGTCCTTCATGTATGAACATCAGAAAATGTTTATCTGTACTGTGAAAAGCCTAAATTAAATCTGTTCATCATATACAGTCCAAGAAGACTGCTTAATAGATGTGGATTTCTTTTACAATGTTGCTTGCTTTGACTTTAAGTGAATTGACAAAAATTAGAGTATTAAAAAACAGAATATTAAAAATATCTTAATTTTTGTTCTGAACATGAACTAAAGTCTTATGGATTTGGAATGAGATAAGGGTGAGTAAATGATGACTGAGTTTTCATTTTTGGGCGAACTATCGGTTTAACTTGGTGGATAAATCAATCATGGAACCTCTGAATGGTGTATTTTCCATATAGAGTCAGTACACTGGATTTGGTGTAGGGTTTACAATTTTTTTAAATTTTCAGAAATTGCTAATAAATTACACAAAATAATTACAAAGAAATGCCAGGTAACACATTTTATTAAATGTGAAATTTTCAAGTAGAAGGACTTGAGAAAGACATTTTCTTGTAAAACATACTTCAGCAATCTTTATTTTTAACTTTGAAAAACTCATTTTTACAATAAAAAATAACATAAACCAAAGATTAATTAGTGAAACTTTGACTATAACAGACAGTGCATGCATTTGTTATGGTTGATTATTACATAATAGTAAATGTCTCTTGAGTTTTGACCGTTTCATGTTCTCAGCAATCAATAATTCACCACACAAATCTTGTTCATTCTTGTTGCATGGGAATCTATATTTAATTTAGTATGGATGATATGTTTTACCGTGCATTAATTGGATTTGCTGTAAACTTTAATGGCAGCTGTAGCTTCGCCATAAACGTAAGTCTCCTTCGGCTGTGAACTGTACTGGAATCCACTAACATGAGGATCATTCTGTGTGTGAGATTCAGCTCAGCTTGAGAGTCTGAATGAAGTTATCGTGCTGTCAAAAAAACTCACATTGCGGAAAAAAAATTTCTGCTCTATATATTGCGATATGAAAAAAAAAATCAGATGACTTCAATAGCTCTATTTGGAAAAAAATTATCAATGATTGAGGTGATTTTGTAGGCGAGTAAATCAGCATAGGAAATAAACAAATTACAAGCATAGATAAATAACAGAACAAAGATACAAATGAAATAAGCAGTGCTTTATATTTTTCAGGTAAATCTAACAGTATTCAGGTACAGAAATGGAATAATCAAATGTAAAATAACACTGCATAGTTTTCACTATAAATTAAATCTAACAAATCTGTGTGAAGGCTACAAAAGTGATTTTTCTTTGTGTTTTGTTGTTTGATTAATGTTCATGAACAGAGAAAGCAACAAGAACTTTAAACTGCTGTGAACCACTATACTGTTAAACATCCATTTTCTTTCTCAATTTTTTCCCTTCACCTAAGTCATAAGCAACTGTGTTTACAAAGATACTTGCAGAGCACAGTATTTCAGGCACAAATAGATGCAGAAGTGAACAGAATTTCGGTGCTCACGTGCATCCGCGAGCGGCGCGGTGCGATGCGACAAAATACAATGAACCTATTTTAATCAGTGATGCTGTGTGACCGACTACACTGGATGGCGCGTGACACGACAAATCCCCGACAGTAAACTGATGCCTCGTTTATGATGTACTGACACAAAGTTCAAATGATTTGCAAAGGTCGCTTTGTCGCGTCCAGTGTAGTCAGACTTTGGGCCGTTCACATGTCGTGCCTAAAACGCGTGGAAAACGCCAGCCTCGCCGCTCTCTCCTTCTTTCCAAAGCGCTCAAGAGCTTGCGCTTTCGTGGCATCTGCTGTTGCAAAGCGACCGTGACCTGCGCTCTCCACGACGAC